TACCAAAAACAACTAGCGGCTGGTGAACAACTAGAAAATGTTTTAATTGAAATGAAAACATTGAAGAAGCGATTTCGCCTTTGTAAAAGGCAAAATAAAATCCCTTTTTCAATTGCTCTTACCCCGCGGTGGGGGTATAAAACAGTTAACAGTAAGTCCAGGTAGAGAAATAAACATCGGACGGTATACAAACAAGGTGCCTGCGGTCTCTTTACTTATTTGGAACATTGCTCAAAGTTCCAGAAAAGTAGTCTCGGCATCAAAGCAAATAAGGGGAGAAGCGACTGTCAGAGTTGCCAGACACAGTTGGCTTAAATGGAAACACAACAGTTGAGTGCTAGACTGCAATCACATTAAGAGGATGAGAGGTAGAGCAGAAACACGCTTTTTCTTTCAAAAAAGCATTAGTGCTTCCGCTGGGAATTTAAAGTGAGAACTCGAGAAAGAGACGGCAGTAGCAGCAGCAGAAGGAACTGCAATTAAGGCAGAAATAACAAATCCAGTGTCTCTTGTTGTCTTTGTGGATAAAACCCGTGACTACTAACTGCTATACGCTATGCAACGGCCTGCCGGGGATCTCAATTCAGAGCAAAAGGGAAACGCCCAGTTTCATCCGAAGCCCTGATATATCAGGGAACACAACTTTCAGGTGGCCAGTTTCCAGTCTTTGCCGTTGTCAGTAAACCGCCTTCTACTGAAAAGGCTAGGGATTGCTTATTTGGCCCCCTAAACAGGACACGAGAATAGGGGCACACCGTCCGAGTAATAAAAGCAGTTCTGTTCCAAAAAGGTTAAATGCTCCGACGTCCTAACTCTACCACCAGCCTCAATAATAATAATCCTATTTTAATACTAGCCCTACCCAAAAACTCTAACTTACCCTAACTTCAGCTTTTAACCTTCAGGTCAAACCTAGCTCTATACCTAATTCTAAGCCTAGCCATGAAAGAATGTTATATTTCCCGGAATTTGGCGTACATGCACCTGTACTGCGGACCGTCCCCGTTCCCACGTCCTGTTTATGGCGTCATCCTTACCCTTGTTAACCTGCTCGACGACCAAGGGAGTCGAGTTCTGATGGCAGGCGCCCAGCCAAGGGGTTGTCTATCATTGGCTGGGGACGGCAAATAAGCCAGAAGTGTAGAGTCTAGTATATTTCCTTATTAGCGACAAACACTCGCGACTATAAGTTGCTAGACGCTACGCACCGGCCTGCTGGG